AGAGTCCTATTGTTCTAACACCAGGGGAGTTCTAACTGGGGTAGAGACTGAGTGCCCCCACCCCCCCACCCCCTCCCCCCCAGCATGAGAAAAGGAGGATCCGAAATAGTTTCTTCCTTTAAGACCTGACAGGACACTCAGTTTGGCCAGGGTGTGTCCACTACAAGGGGAGGGGGAGGGAGAGGGTAGATTTCCAATAAGGCGATTCCCTGAAGGAGATCTGAGTGCCAGAGGACAGCCAGTTGGCTATTATTGGACTTCGCTTTCCACCTCAAACCTACTAAACCACAAAAACACCAGTCCTCCGTACACAGGTGATCCAGAAAAAATGGTAGAAACGTTCATTAGCATTTTTTTCAGCCCACCGCCCAACATAGGCTGATGCACAGACGTGGGTGATGATTGTGTTCACAGCGGAGGTGTAGCACTTTGTCCCAGACAAAGTCGACACTCCTCTCTCAGTGTTTGGCTTCTTGAGGGGTAAGCAGACAAGCCTGAGTTGGTAACATGGCTAAGGGGCTCCCAGAAACTAAAAAAGGCGAAGAGGGACCCTCCCCTGGGGCATCAGAAACAGAGCAGCCCTGCTGACACCTTGTTTCAAAACTCTGACCTCCAGAACTGTGAGAGAATACACTGCTGTTGTTTTAAGCCATCAGGCTTGTGAGGATTTGCTGCAGTAGCCCTAGAAATTCAAGATGAGCTTCCAGAAATGAAAAATAAATTCTTTGTCTTTTTTTTTTTTTTAAGTTTTCAGAAAAGCTTACTGACCTCCTGCTCTAGAGAATGGTGGTCACATGGATCCCAGGACCCCTTGTCATATCCTGTCCCCCAGTGTCTAAGACTCACAGGGGAGGGTCAACTGATCTAGAGAAGGCTGGTCAGTCCAAGCACCTGCAGGAGCCAGGAAGGAAGGAAATAGGTAAATAGGCTGGAGAGGACTAGGTCCCCTGGAGAGGACCAGCTGCATCTCTCAAGGGTGGTGGAAAAACAAGATGCCGTGTGCATGACACACTCTCACATTTATAAAACTGGAAAAGATATACAGATATACCTTATAAACTTGTGTGCATATATGTACACACATGTCCTAATTTAATGTAAGAGCATGTGAAATGTGCTGAAGGCTGTACATGAGGTTGAGGACATGGATGCTCCCTGGATGGAGGGGTGGGTGCTTCTGTGAGCAGGCAGGAAGCCTGGCCACACCCAAGAGGGGAAAACAGGCACATGGGAGATGTTCATAGTCCTACTCTATGTCAGTTCAGTTATATATGAGGAAAAGAAAATATAGAAAGTTAAATGGAGAATGAAAAACAATATAAAGGACATAGCAGCTGCTCAGGTCCAGTGACCCCCTTTTTAGGGAATGCAGCCCAGTGAAACCAGATCTCCTGAGGCTTGAAAAGGACTTGGAAATCTGGATTTTCATGTGAAATTGGAGCACTGTGCAGCTATCAAATACTTAAGGAAAAAAATAATGTTGATTCTCTACCATTGCTTTCTGAAAACACTGTGAAGGGAAACCAAATATATCCCTGGACCACCTCCAGTACAAGCTGGTATGCAGCCCCTGATCTTCAGTAAATCAAGCTGCATGTGCTGATGTCCAGAGTGTGTCCAGGGCCTTCTGGGTCCTTTGTGAGGGGGAGCCGCTGCTGCTGCTGCTAAGTCGCTTCAGTCGTGTCTGACTCTGTGCGACCCCATAGACAGCAGCCCACCAGGCTCCGCTGTCCCTGGGATTCTCCAAGCAAGAACACTGGAGTGGGTTGCCATTTCCTTCTCCAATGCTTGAAAGTGAAAAGTGAAAGTGCAGTCAATTAGTCGTGTCCGACTCTTAGCAACCCCATGGACTGCAGCCCACCAGGCTCCTCCATCCATGGGATTTTCCAGGCAAGAGTACTGGAGTGGGTGCCATTGCCTTCTCCGTGTGAGGGGGAGGGGGACAGGTAAATGGCATGGATTGAGTGTGCCATGCTCCAGGCCTCTGATAAGCCCTTCACATGCTTCCATACATTTAATTAATGTAAAGTAGATACTAAGCCCTCTGCAGAGATGGGGAAATTAAGGCTCTGGTGAGTAACTTGCCCAGGTTCATCCAGCTCTGAGGGATCTCCCACAATCTCTCCCTTCCACTTTCTTTGCCCCTCTGGCACCTTCTCCTCCTTCCTCTGTCCTGACCTTGACCTTCCCGGCTCCCTGTCTTCCAGTCCACACGCCTGGCCGCGGGGCAGGCGGGGCTCAGCCACATCCAGGCTGTGCTCTGACGGGGGCACCACGTCCAGGCTCACAGATTAGAGTGGAGGAGGGGCTGCTGGGAGACTCAGGAAAACCTGCTGATTTCCAGGTGGGGGAACTGAGGCCCAGAGAGGGCACAGGCCTGACCCAGGGTCACAGAGCAGGAACCTCATCCTCTCCTTCTCCAAGTCCTCCCTTTGTGACATGAGAAGGATCCAAAGTTGTCTTTTAGTCTTAGGTGGAATCTCAGGGTGAGTTCAGGTAATTAAGCCAGAATCAAACTGGGGTACAGTGAGCAGGACACCCCAGCCTTCCTCACCCCAGTGCCCCCCCACCCCGGCAGTGCCCACGGGGAGGCCCGCAGGCTCCAGGGCTCCCCTGGCAGTTGGGGCTCAAGGAGCTCTGGGAGTCCATGGAGGTTCTCAGGTTTGCTCTGTTTCTCTTTCCACCTCAGCTTGTCCCAGGGTTTGTTATCAGCAAAGGTGACCAGGCCCCTGATGGCAGGAAGCTGGCTGGGGCTCAGGGTGCTGGCACTTCAGCCCTCGGCACCTCTCAGCAAATAGTCCCTTGGAAACAGGGCAGCTGTCCCTGAGGAGGGGGCGGGCTGGGAGGGGCCTCACTCCCCCCACACTGGACCCTGGAGGAGCCCCTGTGTGAGCAGGACTGCAGCCCTGGCTGGCGGGACTGTCTTGGGCAGGTGACCTGGGCAATTCCATGGTCTCCAGGGTCCCTGCCACTCTGGCCACATGTCCCTGTCACAGCCCTGAAACCCCTTCAGGCCCCTGTTCTCCTGTCTCAGTTCCAGTCCAGGCCCCTCCTCCATGGGGAAGGTTGGCTCCATGCCTGTATCCTTTCTGGGTCAGAAGACACCTACTGGGCTGCCTCAGGGCCACTGGGACCCTGGAATCCCCCCAGTCATCTCCACTCTGCCCCCCTCACCCCTGCCCCAGTCCTGGGTGCATCCTCAGGGCTGTCCCCTCCCAGGAGTCCTACAGGTGCCTCCTGTTTCAACTCCTTCCCTTAAAACGGGACCGATCATCCATCCATCCCCACCCCCTCCCTGGGATGCCCTGAAAGACTATACATCAGCATCAGACACAGCATCCTTGTTCATTTCCAATCCTTTCTTCCCAGCTTCGAAGCTGCTAACCAGTCTCCAAGGCCAGGAAAATCCTCACTCAGGTAAGACTACTCCTAGATCTTTCCTGACCTACACCTAGATGGCAGATTTGGAGCTTAAGAGCCAAACATTATGTTAATTATTCTGAGGTTCCCCCATGATGCCCCATCTTGAGTCATGCTGGGTTGGGGTCTCCCTTCCCCAATGGGGAAGAGTCACAGGTTAAGGGAAAATTGGGCAAAGGATTCCCTACTACTCATATCTCTCATACCCACGGCCTTGCTCTCACCCCATGCTCCTCCCTGCTCACCCCTGAAGTTGCCCTCCTCCGGCTGGGGCTGTGTCCCCCCAGATGACAGCTCCTTCTAGTGATGCTGCAGGGAGGAGAGGCCGGGACATGTGTGTCTTCAGGTTGCTGTGGAAGGAGGCCTTGGCCTGAAGGCGGGTCCTGGGTCCCAGAGCTCCCACCCACGGGGTACCTGCTAACCATGTGGGCTGTAGATCAAAGCACTCAAACCCACAGTTGATACTTTTATCTGGGATTCCCAGTTCCTAGCCATGCCACCTTAAGGAAGGCACTGGATTTCCCAAGAGTCAGGCCCATATGCAACATGGAGTGAGCAGTACTATCCATAATCCCTTTTCTGAAATCCCTAGGTCAGATCTACTCCAGGACTCAGTAGTTTTTAGCTTCAGTCACATAACCTGGTGCATCTCCCTATATGCCATAATACCCAATGGGGCCTGGAAGCACATTTTAATCAAACATCTTAGCATTTCTACAACTGAACTCTTGAACATTTACACTAGGTGAAATATAGACCACAAATGGTCTCATAGTCTGTTCAGGTCAAATTTTCTTATGAAATGAGTTTTTTCTTTTTATTTCTTTTCCAGTTTCAGAGACTTAAAGGTTTGGGGTTGTAGGTAGAGACCATACTATTCTGTATTTCTGTAGATAATGGCACATAGCATAGGAGGACCCAAAATGTTCATAATTTGAGGCCAGAGGCAACCCAGCTGGCAGCTTCGGGATAAGAGAAGTCTGACAAGACCAAGGGTGATGGGTTGGGAGAAAAAACTGCAGAGCGGCTGTGCTGTTATCAGGGGTCTGAGTCATTGGTTCAAACTCCACATATCCTGAGCCTCAGTCCTCAAAGGGCCCTGAGCCTTTTCGAGGCATCTGACTTAATCCACCTCCACAGCTGGACCTTTGTCCCGCAGTGAAGACCACAGCCATATCGCTGACATAGACTTGCACCACCATCATAGCACCATGAGCTTGTTCTCAGGCCTGGACTCTGTGACCATCGTGGGCTATTTCCTCCGCCTGGGGCAGCTGCTCTCCACCTGCGTGCCCTTCTCGCTGGTGGCCGTCGAGGACACTCTGCAGGAGGGCATAGGTAACTGGTGCTTCATTGTCTGGTGCTTCTGCTTCTCTGCATCCCTCCTCATCCTCCTAGCTGAGTTATGTAAAATCCGGTCCCGCATCCCCCAGTATTGAGATGGTTTTCTCCATGTCTACGCCTATTACTTTACCTTCATCTGCCTCTCAGTCTCCATCATCTTCGGCATCACCTACATCCAGTACTTGCCTCAGGGTCCTATCCAAAATCACGCCATCACCGCCACTGCCTTCTCAGTCATGGCTTCTGTGCTTTATGCCATGGAAGTGGCCTGGGTGTGTGCCCGGCCCAGCAATATACGTTGCTTTGTGCCCACCACTCAAGGCTTGATCAGAAGGCTGGAGAACGCCGTGGCCTGTGCTATCTTTGGCTTCCTCACTAACACTGAATTGTACAAGGACCAGCCGGCCCTGATTTGGTGTGTGGTCGTGTACTCGATCTGTTTCATCCTGGGGACCGTGGGCTACTTTGTCAATGGGTGTGACTACGACAGAAGGCTGCCCACCCTCTACCCTGGTTTCCTGGTGGGGCAGACCGTGCTCTCCAGCCTCCTCTATACCACCGCTGTTGTCCTCTGGCCGCTCTACCAGTTTGACGAGAATTTTGGGGGCCAGCCTCAAAGGTCCAATGATATGACTTGCGACGCTGAACTTCCCCCCACACTTTGTGTCTGGGACCAACGATTGGCTGTCGCCATTCTGACAGCCATGAACTTGCTGGGCTGACAGCGCATACATGGCCTTGGTTTTTGTAAAGCAACACTCTGCCCATGAGTCTTGATTCTTCTTCTTAACAGAAATTTCATTACTAAGCTCTGCCTTCCCTGATGTCCTCTTCCTGGCTCCCTCTCTCCCTCCTCACATCCTTCCCTACTCATCTCACTCTCTTTTGTTTCCTTCCCTCCTTCTGCTCTGACTCCTTCCTGTCTTGTGTGGTTGCCCGCATTCTCTTCTGCCTCTTTCTCTTGAAATTAAAAGACACTTACTCTTTGGAAGGAAAGTTATAACCAACCTAGAAAGCATATTAAAAAGCAGAGACATTACTTTGCCAATAAAGGTCCATCTAGTCATGGCTATGTTTTTTCCAGTAGTTATGTATGGATGTGAGAGTTGGACTATAAAGAAAGCTGAGCACCAAAGAATTGATACTTTTGAACTGTGGTATTGGAGAAGACTCTTGAGAGTGCCTTGAGAGTCCCTTGGACTGCAAGGAGATCCAACCAATCCATCCTAAAGGAGATCAGTTCTGAGTGTTCATTGGAAAGACTGATGTTGAAGCTGAAACTCCAATACTTTGGCCACCTGATGCGAAGAGCTGACTCATTTGAAAAGACCCTGATGCTGGGAAAGATTGAAGGTAGGAGGAGAAGGGGACAATAGAGAATGAGATAGTTGGATGGCATCACTGATTCAATGGACATGAGTTGGGTAAACTCCAGGAGTTGATGATGGACAGGGACGCCTGGCATGCTGCAGTTCATGGGGTCACAAAGAGTTGGACACGACTGAGCAACTGAACTGAACTTGCTGTTCCATTTTTCCTACATTTTCTACTCTTTGTCCCTTTTCTGATCTTTCTTACTTTTCTCATCTCCTGTGTCCTGACCACCTCTCCCCATTTACCTTCTTCTGATCCATCAGGACCTGAGACTCCTTTCTTCTCTGCCCACCACCCAGTCCCACCTCCTAAGGTGCTGACTCCACAGCACACAGCCTTCTGGGCAGCTGTTCACACCCTGGGCCTCCGGAGGGGCCTCATTGCAAAGCATGTCTGTCCCCCTGGCAATGCCTTAGTTGATGTGGGTGAGTATGGGTCAGTGAAGTTGGGGGGCACAGTGGATAGGGATTGGACCCTCTTTCTCCCAGTGGAGGGAGGTGTCCACTCCACCTCTCCTTTAAGTTAAAAAATAAATCTCTGGAGGTCCATAATTTCCAGCAGCAAGAGGATTAAAACAGAGACCCTGGGTCCCTGGGTCCCACTTGGTGCTCCAGGTGTTCCAGCCCCACCTGAGAGTGGCTCCAGAATTTTTGCAGGCTCACTGAACACCCACTGCCTCAAGGGCCTCTTAGAGGAAGCCAGGGGTAGATACCCTTTCATCCCAACTACTCTCTGAGGAGTCAAAGTAGGAGCTGGCAGAGAAACCCGGTGTCTTAAAGACACCTGTCTGCAGTGCTTGTGAGGGGAAGCGATGTGGTCCCCCTGCCTCCGTGATCAAAACATCAGGTCCTGCCTCTGCAGGGAGAAGAGCATGGCCACTGCAGCCTTAAAGCTGATGTTAGCTGGATTTCTTTTCTGGTTAGAAGGGTACAAGTTACTGGGTGGCCCTATTCTTAAGGGAGAATGTTCTTTTCATTTTACTTTTTCTGGCGTGGTTTGAACGGGATGGGGATTGCTGTTGCCATAGTCAAGGAAACTGAATTTATTGAATGTGTGCAGCACACATGTGTGTTTCTGTGTGCCAGCTGCTTTCTGATGCTGCGTCCTGTTTCTTTGTGTCTCAAGAAAAATGAGATCCAGGTAAATGTGCATCATTTTTAAAAATTCTTGGAGCTCCAGGTACCCATCAGCCCCTGCAGTCAGTCATAGAGAGAAGCGTTGTCCAGAGGTGTTGTCCCTTGTACCACATCTATAATGTTAGCTTTTAAACCTTTAGCTCAGAGAGTAAAGAATCTGCCTGCAATGCAAGAGCCCCGGGTTTGATCCCTGGGTCAGGAAGATCCCTTGCAGAAGGGAATGGCAACCCACTCCAGTATTCTTGTCTGGAGAATTTCATGGACAGAGGAGCGTGGTGGGCTACAGTCCCTGGGGTCGCGAAGAGTCGGACACAACTAGCACACACACAAGATAAAAGTAAGAAAACACACGAAATCCACAGATCCTAATTACCCCAAATTTGCCTGGAGCTCAAAGCTGCCAAGCAGACTTCCTCCTCACGCAAGCAAACCATCCTCTCAAGGAAACCCTCCATGAGTCTCCAGTCCCCTGGCCCCACCCCTCCAGCCCACCATTTACCACCCCAGCCAAATCCTAGAGAATGGCCCAGTGTTAGGAAAGAAGAGGTGGGCCCCACCATAATGCCCAGCATCTGGTCCCCTAGCTCTTAAAGGGGCCCTGCCAGCTCCCGGGTGCCTCTTTTTAAAGGCATGAGTGTGTGTCTTTGTACATGCTGAGTGTGTGTGTGTGTGTGTGTGTGTGTGTGTGTGTGTGCTCTCAGCCACAGAGCCTCAGAGCCCAGCATCCTAGTGTCACCAGGGCCAGAGGGGCCAGGCAAGCAGAGCTGTGGGGGAGGGGAGGGGGAGGACCCCCCTTCGGCCCCTCACTCCTGTTCTGGGATGAAGTATGTGATCCTCACCCAGGGGCAGGTTGCATAGGTGCAGAGGGCTCCCAGGAGGTGGTTCCCATGGCAGAACAGTATTAAGAAGTAATGTAGTAATTACCATATTTTTAGGAAGACAAGAAAAATATAAATTTATTCTCTGCTTGTTTGGCCTCCTCCCTCACCTCTAGTGTGGATCATGCATCCATGTTATATGTTAACTAATCTTCCCTAAGGGCAGAAATACCTGCTCAGCCATAAAGATGAATTTTTCTTCTTCTGATGTAGTCATGTAAGTCCTTAGGAGAGAACAATGTTTACTTATGACTTTATCAATACCACAAGTTCTATTACTTGTATTCTGCCTATTTTACTTTTATATGACTTTTTCTTGTATTACCAAATGTTTAACAGAGCCTATGATAAAAATAATGATGACCAAGTGACTTGAAAAAATTGACCTGATGGATAGTCTGAAAGATCCATGATTGTAACAGTGTGACTCTAGATATGGGAAGAAGCAACAGGGAGGGAACCATTTGCAGGAGGCTGTGTGACCCAGAGGAACTTGCTACTGTTTCTAGGACTGGGTGAGTAAGAGCATTTTGAGTGGTCTATCAGTGAAATTATTAGCTCTTGAGACAAAATGGTTAAAGATGCCTCCCAAATTTTATTGAAAATAAAACTAAAATGGACGGGATTATGTAATAAAGAATGTTGCCCACCACTCACGTCAACAAGAATCAAATCATTAGCCACTGTTGTTGCTGACCGAGTATCCATCCTGGAGGGAATTCAGAGTGAAGATCAGGATGAGGTGCTTTGTTCTCTAGGAAACCTGGCAGAACCAGCCCTCAATTAAATATTCACAGGAGAAATATTTATGAACTCAGGGTCTTGCATCTTCCCATACTTAGAAAAGCACTAATACCGTTAACTAAGGTATGTGTTCCTCTCAAATAGCAGTCACCTAAAAAGACCTGGTCGCATGGATCCTCTTACCAAAATCACTTACATATTTGTGTATGTATGTGGCATGTTTAAAAAGCAGAGACATCACTTTGCCGACAAAGTTCATCTAGTCGAGCTATGGTTTTTCCACTAGTCGTGTACACATATGACAGTTGAACCATAAAGAAGACAGAGTGCCAAAGATACTTTCGAATTGTGGTGCTGGAGAAGACTCAAAGGTGTCCCTTGGACAATAAGGAGATCAAACCAGTCAATCCTAAAGGAAATCAGTCCTGAATAGTTATTGGAAGGACTGATGCTAAAGGACTGAAGCTCCAATACTTTGGCCACCTGATGGGAAGAGATGACTCATTGGACAAGACCCTGATGCTGGGAAGATTGACGGCAGGAGGAGAAAGGGGAGACAGAAGATGAGATAATTGGATGGCATCATCAACTCAATGGACAAGTTTGAGCAAACCTGAGGACACAGTGAAGGACAGAGAAGCCTGGCGTGCTGCAGTCCATGGAGTCGCAAAGAGTTGGACACGACTGAGCAAATGAACAACAATGACAAATGGTATTACAAGATAATGGCTATATTTCTCCTCAGCTGTTTACTATATCCTTGTTGCTTATTTATTTTACACATAGTAGTTTGTATCTCTTAATCCTCTATTTTACCCCTCCCACCTCTCTCTCCCCACTGGTAACCATTAGATCTCTGTATCTGTGAGTCTGTTTCTGTTTCATAGATAAGTTCATTTATGTCATATTTTGGATTCCACATATAAGTGATATCATATGGCACTTTTCTTTGCTTTCTGACTTTCTTCACTTACTATGAGAATCTATAGGTTCATGTTGCTGAAAATGGCATTATTTTAATATTTTATTTATTTCATATATGAAAATATGAATGGATATTCCATACTTGAAAGTAGAACTTTTGGTATTTCATTTATGAAAATATGGGTGGATATTTCCATATATGAAAATTGATTTTTTTTATTTCTTATTTGAAAATAAAATTTCTTATATTTCTTGTATGAAAATATGGATGTATATATCTATACATGAAAATCTAATTTTCTATACTTTCTGTCTGAAAATATGGGTGCAGATCCTAGGATTAGCTCTCTTGATAATTTTTTTTTCTGGCATTTGGAGATGGTCACTGTGGGTATTGCCAATGTCCTTTCCCAAGACAGAAGAGGGGCATTCCCTTCCTTCCAGGTGCTATCCTGCATTTATTGTTTGTAGATTTTTGATGGTGGCCCTTCTGACAGGTGGGAGTTGAGTTCTTATTGTCATTTCTGATTGTCATTCCTGAGGTAATTACAGATGCTGACCATCTTCTGTGGTGGAGATTTGGTGCTTTGTCGTCCCCCCCCCAAATCGTTGGAGGAAAATTTTCCTGCAGCAAGTGGCTTCTAGAAAGTTGGTTGTGTTTAGAATTTATCTTGAGGGCAGCTGTCAGGAACAGCTGGCCAGGCTTTCTGAATTGGAGATTCCAGTAAGCATCAGTAGTTGAGTTGAAGTTACAGGAAATGTCCACAAGGGGGCAGCCATTTTCACGCCTGCCTCTGGACCCTATCGAAACCAGAGCTTAGGGAAAGTTGGCTTTCAGGGATGTGAATTAGAATGGACTGAACCTGATCAAACACTTAAGGGCTGGTGGCTCAGTACTTCTTGAAGGAGTCTTTTGGGCCTAGAAAAGAGAACAACAGTCTCAAAGGCCCCTTGCTGAATCATCTAACTTTGGAGAAAACAAAACAGAATTTTAGCTACACCCTGATGCTCCAGGCCGGTTGCATCTATCTGGGACGTATCAACCCCTGTCCTGAAACCTTACACCCCCTACACCTGCCCAGAAGACTTATCACCCCCTGTCCGGGAACTTTGCACCCCCTACACCTGCCCAGAAGACTTATCGCCCCCTGTCCAACTACAAATGTCATCTCAACAAAAGAATACTCAAAATATCCCGCCTGATTAACGTTTCCCTTATTGCTTCCACAAACCTCCCTATAAGTATGAAGCCTCCCTGATCCCTCTCAGCGCTCAGCCTGGTCGTTAGGCCAACTGTCACCCCTCCTTGCCTGAATAAAGGTAACCTACTTCTGTTGAGGTCGTTTTTCCTTTTCTGCCTCGCTGGAACTATACCCTACACTTCTCCCCCCTAAAGTTGTGAAAACCCTTCGTTCCACTGTCCCATCCGGGGCCACAGCGTCCTCCTGAGGGCGCTGAGGTGCCAGGAGGCAGCACTCTCAGGAAGGAGGCTTGAGTTGGGAACCTCAGCACCAAGAGAGATGGAGGCTAGGTGTCTATTGCCCCCAAGGTCCTCCAGCCCTTGATCCCACTCGGGACTCTGGTCCCAGCCAGAACACAGCAGGCCTTTAAAAAGGGTTCACTGAAGGGCATCGTGCCAAGCTGTGTGGACCCCACCTCAGTCTAGCAGTGGGACCCAAGGCTGCTCAGCCTCCAAGGATGGGATAGTGTTGTAGCCACGCGTTCCAGGAAACAAACTCACTCAGAAGGACAATGCAGATAGTGGAGTGCAGTTTATTACACCGGCGGGCTCAAGGCAGAGTCTCCTCTTAGCCAAGGACCCTGACCAGTTTTTGTGAAAACCTTATATGCCCTGAGTGTACTTGCTCAAACCCACCTCCCCAAATTCCTCGAAACTAGTCTGGACAAGGTAAAAGACAGATACGATCAAAGTTAACCTGTGATTCATGTGTCACAAGACTAGATAAACAGTGGATATTTATCAATAGGCCTGTGGCCGTATCCCGATAAACATAATGGAATTTACCACTTTGTTCTGTTACAAAGAGTTATGGAGAGTCCAAGTACAAATCCTGAGGCTCTTTTATCCGGTGGGGGGGTGGGTGGGGATCTGGTTTTCCATTGGTATGCCATTTCTATAGACACCGGGCACAAAGTTCAGAGTCCATTGGGAGGGTGACCATGTGTGTAGCCTAATGCTCGCAGCCTGGCCTAAGACGGAGTCCAGCTCTGTCTGTTTCCTCCTTCCAAGTCAGGGAGTCTGGAGATAATAGAGTAGGCACTACTTTTCTTTCATTTTTTTTAAACATCTTACTGATGCTACCTTGCAGTGTAGTTGATTTGCAATGCTGTGATTGTTGTCAGGGTACAGCCACCTGCTTCAGGCAGGATGTATCCATGGAGTACATTTGTCCTTTTTTGGATTCTTTTGCCATAGAGCTTATTGCAGAAGGTTCAACAAGGTGCTGAGCGTCAGGTCTTCAGGGATTATCTACCGCACATGCAATTTTCTGTGTATATGAGGAAGGAAGAAAGGAAGGAAGGAGATAATCCTTGTGAAGTGTCTCTTAGAGACACATATTTCTGGGTATGTGTCAGAAATAGAGATTTCTGTGTGTATGCGAAAGGAAGGAAGCTGATAATCCCTGTGGATTACTGATTACAGATACAGATTTGTGCCTGTGTTAGTCAGACAACAATAAGGAGAGAAGTTTGAACCTTCAAACACCATTGGTGGGAATATGAAATGGTGCTGCCATTTTGGAAAACAGTCTGGCAGCTCTTCAAAATATCAAACTTGGAGTCACCACATGACCCAGCAATTCCACTCTTACGGATAAACCCAAACACTTGTGCACACATGTTCAAAGCAGCCCAGTTTCCAAGCCAAAATGGGGAAACCACCCACATGATCATCAATAACGGATCGAAAAGATACACACAATGGGGTCCATCCACACAGTGGAATGTGACTCAGTCATGGAAAGGAGCGAAGCTCTGACACAGGCTCCAATGTGGATGGATCTTGAACACACAGTACTCAGTGAGGGAAGCAGACACTGAAGGGCACACAGCATGTAATTCCATTTATAGGAAATGTCCCAAACAAGCAAAGCCACAAAGAATGAAAGTGGGTTTGTGGTGGCTAGGGGATAGGGGAGGGGGATAGGGGATGAATGGATGTGTCAGGCGAGTGTATACTCCTCGGTTTTTGTCTCATCACAACAAAGATTTGGAATGATGGACATTAAAGCCCCCTCGGCATGTCACAGCTCTCGGGTCTTGGACAGACTGTGTTATAGCTCTCAGGTCTCAAACAGACCATGTTATAGCTCTTAGGTAAATCAGTGTAACAGCTCTATTTTATTTAGATAATAGCAGAAAAATCCATCTTGGAGGAGTGAGGGCATGTCGATCCAAAGACGCTAAGAGAAGAGCACCCCAGCGAGCGGGAGAGAGAGAGAGATTTGGCTCCTCTTTTTATATGTTTCTTTCTCCCTGGACCTGTCCTGTATAAATTGAGCCAGCCAGGAGTGCTGTTTGTTTTATCTGAGGTCCTCACTCCAGTCTTTGGACCTTCCTTTGTTCTATTTTCGTGGGCTTTTCCCTTCCGGGTCTTCTAGCCACAACCATTTTGGACTCCTTTTCCCTATTCTAACTACCTAACAGATAGATGATGGATGGGTGGATGGATAGATGATGGATGGATGGATGTGAAAAGTTGTTGCTGAACCACTAAAGTCACCAAGATTCTTGGCCTCTGGAGGAGAAGAATTCAATCTGCCGCCAGAGATGAGGCTTGATCGCTCAAAGCTTTGGTGTAATAAAATTTTATTAAGGCATAAAAGGGATAGAGAAAGCTTCTGACATAGACATCAGAAGGGGGCAGAAAGAGTGCCCCGTTGCTAGTCTTTAGCTGGATGTTATATAGCTACTAGCAGCCTGCTATTTAAAGAAATAAACTGTCTCAAAACTCAGGGAATGGCACCAGGCCCCTCACCCACAACATGCATTTTGAGATAACATTGGCACCAGGTGAGTCATCCTGGGCCATAAAACGATTGACATAAACCTTGAAGAAAGTCAGATTCCCCCACAAATATATAGTTTCATTAGCATAGTTTAGGAGAAAAATGTATGAGTATAACATACTTTTTATCAAGTAGGTTCTGAGCCTTTAGGCGGAACCAACTTGAAGACAGAGTCCAGGGTAAATGCATAGTACATTAACACAGCTTAAGACAAACATTTCCATAAGAAAAATGCATTGGTTAGCTCAAGGTTTGAGAAAGTTAAGTTTAGGTGGAACCGGGTGTCATTAAGGCAACACAATTTTTAAGAGAAACCTCTTTTTATATTTGTATAGAGAAGGAGAAAATATATAACACTAGTTTGTTTCCTCCTGTGGCTTAAGAAAGAAATAAAAATGTCTGACACTTTCAGCCTATTTCCTCCATTTGGAGACCCCTGGCCTTCCTGCCTGTTACCTTCTCATTCCCTTCTTTTCTTCTAGGAGAATTATGTTGCCTAGGGAAAGGAGCTTCATTCTTGTTCCATAACTGCTTCCGAGCTGATAAGGGGCATTGTCCCTAAATTGGTGAGGCATCATATTCTCCTAACCCTCATATAGAGGGTCTCTGATCCAGGGGCCCCAAGTAGTAGATGGAGGAGGCTGCAGCAGTTGCAGGAGTTTGAGCAACAATTTGTAACTTAAAAGCTTTCATGCAACTAGAAACAAATCCAACTACACAGTTACAGATGCAGGGAGCAAACAACAAAAACAGAACACTCAGAATTATTGTAATTAAGATAGTTTTCCACCATGGGGAACTAGTTAACGTCCAAAATGAGGTAGTTGAGTCTTCAGGAGTATCCATAGCCTGAATCATCTTATTTGTGTGTTTAGTAAAATGATTAATATTAGTGCTCATATCAGGTATATATGTACAGCACTGGGTATGAATAACGGCACAAGTTCCTCCTTGTACAGCTGTCAGAATATCTCAGGTCAATCTGTTTTGTAAAACCACCTTTCGAATTTGTATTTGTTCAGCATTAAGAGCTGAAATAGCTCTTTGAGAATCTTGTAATGCCTACTGAGTAAAATTAGTCAAAGCATCCACTTGTAACATAACATTTGTAGTTCCCAAAGAGGGAACAAACACTGCAGCCAAATAATTACACCAGTGAAATACAGACCTTGCCCACTGAGCTTTAAGGTGTGGTAAATTAGTAGGCTTTTCTGGAAGCTCTGAAAATATGAAGCCGTGAGTAAAATCTAGACCTAGGGTGCATCTCGCTATCAAGCCAGGGAGAAGCCATGCCCACAGGTAAGAGCCACATATCCAATAGGTCCCGTTTGGGGCAAGCCAGCATGACTGAGATATCCAGTCCCAATCAGTGCTTGGCCAGGCAAAAGGAGGATCTGAACTGGAGTTTGAAAACAGGGGAATGATTACATTGCATATTTCCTGAGGCAAAAATCCCAATTGTTTCCAATCGTTATAA